TGCCTCCTGTGCCCCACAGGTTCTGGCCAGGAGACCTGGCGATCATCAAGAGACACAGAAAAGAGAACTCGGGTGACTGGAAGGGACTTTACACTGTCATCCTGACAATGCTCACAGCTGTCAAAGTAGACGAGGTACCTACTTGGAATCACCATCCCTACGTGAAGCCCGTAGACCCACACGCTGATCCTGAGGGCTACACTCCAGAGGAAGTCGACCCTGGACTTTGGAGAGCCACTGCATCTCCATGAAATCCTTTAAAATTGAGAATTCAGAAGCTCACCAATCCAGCTAAGTGACAGGCTTGTCCCTATGCTTCCTTAGCATGTGCCTGCAGGGGCTTCCCAGTCTGGTCACCCTAGGGGACCACAACCCCTACCTACCCTTTATTCTCACCTAGGAAATCATCAGTGCTGGCACAGGCAGGATCCTGAGCTGGACTTCCCATGCAGTCCCGGTAGGGACCTGGTTCCCTGATCTATACTTTGACTTGGGGATGCTTTATGGTTGGGCTGAGGTGTGTGATGCTACATTACATGAAGTCACCCATTTTAATGCTTGTCCTGGGTATAACAGACATAAGGGACAGGTGGAGGCCTATGGGGGAGTCGGTGACTATTTCTGTGTTCATGGAGCTGTGTCTCCACGGGTCATATCTGGCGGAAGGCCCCAAAGGATGGAGACCTTGTCAAGGGAAAGTAGGTAGACCAACCAAGATGTTTGGGTGCTTGGTTGAATTAAGTTTGCTGGAGCAGGGACATGTAACCAAATATTAATTCAATTCACTGGTGCTGGTAGAAAAATGTTCAGTTGGCTTCAGGAAAAACCTGGGTTTAAGGTTGTATGACCAGGTGGGGGTTCAATAGGGGAAGACCTAGGAACATTGTTCATTTCTGGTTAGATGTTCAGCCCCTACAGCACAAAAGCCTTTGGGTCCCAATAAGGTAATGAACACCCAAATGTCAAAAAGAGCAAAGCCTAAGAAATCTAAGCCTTTAAAACTAAGACCTTGTCTCTGACAACTGATTCTACTCCCACAAATCAACCCTCTAATCCAGGCCTCTTTAATCTACTAAGAGCTACCTATCTGGTTCTGAATGCCTCAAAGCCAAGACTCGTCAGGGCTCATTCGCTCTCTCTAGACACAAGACCACACCATTATGAAGAGATTGCAACACAGGGAAGTTATACCAGCTCCCCCGACACACAGAGTGTGCTCAGGCAGAGGGAGACTAACAGTACAATCGGTAACAGGAAACAGACTGTGCATGGGCCGAACCCTACCTGACTATGTTGATTCTGCAAAGAAATTCAGCCCACTGGGGACAGGATATTTAATTCTGCCGGATGATACTTGGTGGGCCTGTATCACAGGTTTAGCTAACTCCCTGCATACATGCCCAAGTTTTAACTGATATTCCGGGTTTCTGAGTCTTGGTGCAGCTGGTCACAAAAATAGCTTGTTTCCCTGAGGAAGAGATTCTCCATCAGTTAGAACCAGCGGGATAGGCCAAATGTGAGGTTTTCATAGCTGTCCTAATAGCCATTCTCCTAGGCACTGGAACCTCGGCTCTCATCCTCCAAGATCGGAATTATAAGATTCCGAGCACAGCCATAGATGCAGACAGAGCCACCCTAGAAATTCCATCACCCATCTGGAGGAATCACTCTCTTCTTTAGCTGGGGTGGTCCCCTAGAATAGGAGGGGCTTAGACTTACTGTTCCTTCAATGGGAGGGTCTATATCTGGCTCTGGGAGGACAATGCTGTTTTTATGCTAACCACTCAGGTGCCATAAAAGCCTCCAAAAACCTAATTAAATAAAACTGGGAAACTAGGAAAGAAGCATATAAAATATGGTATAAATCCTATTCAATTGGTCCCCCTGGTTAACTACACTCCTTTGGGCTCTGCGTGGGCCCTGGGTCCTCTTACTGTTGGCCTTGACTTATGAACTTTGCATCATTAACACTCTCGTAAGATTTATAAAGGAAGGAATCTCTACAGTTCAGCTGATGGTTCTGGGACAGCAATACAAGCCTATAGATATGGAGGATGAATTTCCAGGATTTGAGGAAATACACAGAATCATAAGGACATACTTTAAAAACCTATACTCTGTCAAGGTGCAAAAGCTAAGAGAACTGGATTATTTCCTTGACATATACCACCTATCAAAGTTAAATCAAGATCAGTTAAACAAGTTAAATGAACGTATAAACCCTAGTGAAATAGAAGCAGTCATTAAAAGTTTCCCAAGTGAAAATCCACAGGGTCAGATGGTTTTACATGGTTTGGTGCAGAATTCTACCATACCTTCAGAGAAGAATTAATGCCAGTACTCAAATTATTCCACAAAATAGAAACAGAAGGAACACTGGTTCATTTTATAAATCACAGTTACCCTGATCCCAAACCACATAAAGACTCAACAAAGAAAAAGAATTACAGACCAATTTCCCTAATGAAAATAGATTCAAAGTTTCTCAATAAAATACTTTCAAAAACCAAATACATGAAACATCAAAAAGACCATCCACATGATCAAGTAGTCACTAATGAAGCTTCCAGTACTGGGAATGGGTGACATCTAGTTGAAGTGTTGGCCAAAGTGGCCTCATGGGAACTCCTGAAGAAACTAGGCTATTGTCAAGGTACACTGGCTCACCTGTGACACAAAGCTTGTGGGAGTAACTACACTACCCAATACCCGACTGGATTAACTGGATTACTGGATGTAACCCATACCCGCCACTGCTTAGGTGGCCAAGAACCTGAGTCTAGATAAGCCAGGGACCTAGGGGAAACCAAATACTGGTTCTGCAAAAGGAGCATAGCAATAAAATGTTTCCCAGTGACATTCTGCTATACTCGTACGTAGAACAAAGCCTTCCTCAGCCATCATTAGCCAATGAGAACAAATACAGAGACCCACAGCTGAACAATGTGAAGCTGAAGTCCTGCGTGTATGTGCACAGTTGACACTGGCACCCGTCTTACTCACGGGAATGTCAGCGCCTTCCTCTGGCTGGAGGACAGATATTGACAAGTGGGTGATCTGCAGCAGACTCAGCACGTGCAGAAAGTACTGGCTGTGGCTTTCCGCCAGGACTATGCTGACCTGAGACTGCTCCAGTACAGAGACCCCCTCCTGAGATTAGCCAACCCACTTCGTAGTTCATGCTGTGCATGATTACAACTACGATTGTGTCCAGGGCCTAACTACTATTTATCCTGGGCTGTCTTTAGCCCTCTTTAATTGCCCGTTCTTTGTCCTCTTCTGTGTCAGACCTAATCCTTGTAACTAATAACAAAACGTTATGTAATGTACTAACTTAAGTGACTAAAAACGTCCAACATCCAAAAGGTCAGTGTTTCATCAGAGTCTTCTTTTGTGTCTCTCTCTCTAGCATTTCTTGGGACTTAATATATTCTAACTTGTTTGTGTGCAGGTCCTCTGGGAGAGTATGCCATTCAGGAAGAATTTTGATTCATTGCTTATTTTTCCCCCTTTCCTCACACAGACATACAGAGGGTACTCAGGATATTGCTTGGATGGGAAATGAAGAGGAAAAAGTGGTCTTATGAAAGAAGTATTGAGTGATATATATAAGAGATCATGAGGCATTCCAATAAGAGAAATACATGCTAAATCTTTGAAAACAGTCATATGGTTGAGTAACATAATAACAATGCTAAAAGATGAATTATGGGTCAAAACCAATCGTGTGTGGCACAAAAGAGAAGGAGAAGCAAACTGAAGCAGAATATAAACTTGAGAAGCATATAAGATGAACCCAGAAGAGATACAATATTTTAACAGTCAGTTTGAAATAGAGGAACGAGGAGGGTAAATGAGAAGAAATCATCTAAGTTATATTAAGAGTAATTCAACAAACATGAAGAAAGTTGCACATTTACTCACTATGAAAGTTCAAACAAGACATAGTACAATAAATATAAATGGTGCAATTAAAATTGAATGAAGGATTTTGATAGAGATTTCTTCAAGAAAATGTAGAGTTGGGCAATAAGTACAGGAAAAAATGATCAGCATCATTAGTCAATATGGAAATGAATCACAATCATGGCACACCACTTCCGGTCCACCAGGATGCCTGCCAGTAGTAGGACATTCAGTGCAGTGTCAAAAAGCAGTGTCTGTTAGCATGTGGGTGTGTTTTGTAGATGCATTCTGAAATAGTAAAAGAACTCACTTAGGAGATGTAAGTGAATTCAAGTGTCTAACAAACTACCAACTATTTGATGAGTGTTTAAACATATTGTTTTCAACTTATTTCTGGCCACATGAGTTGAAGGTTTAGTTGTACAAAGGGGATCACATATAAGCCATAGCTCTGAGGCGAAACACGTGGCATATGTAACAGATGTCCACCTCAAATGCTGCCTTTGGGGATACAAGGTGGTCCATTTACTCTTTAAAAAGTTTTTATTTCCTTATGTGCTAATACTGAGTTAGTGCCTAAGCCAGCGATTTCACTCCTAGAAAGTTTGTAATGAATGGACTATGTCTTATTAGATGGAAATGGATCTTTGAGGACCAGGGTTAGGATACTATGATTTTAAAGAGACATGCTGGGCTATCAAGATGACATAAATCGTAATTACATTTAACCCTACCCTACAACCCCTGTTTATTTAATTTTCGTGGCGCGGGGACATGTGCAGAGAATGGACGGCTAAAAGGGCTGGAGCTTTGTGATCCTAGAACGAAAAAGGATACCGGGCCAGAATTCCAAGGCTAGAGCAACTGTGTTAAACCAGAAAGACAGAATCCAAGAACTGGTTGGCTCACCATCTTTAAACAGTCCGGAGCGAGAGCGGCTGGTTACTACAGCAACCACAGACTCTCGCGAGACAGATCAAAGGCCTGCGCAGTGCTGCTCCAGAGCTTTGTTCCGCGCTTAGGGATTCCTCCCACCCCCACCCCGGAGCGACCGGTCGCCAGCTGCAGTTTAAGTCCCTTACTGGGTGTGACGTCATGCCGAGCGCAGGCAGTCAGGGGTAGCCTTCGGCGCAGGCGCAGCGCAGGCGCACGTGGAGCTGGCACTAGAGTCCTCAGTGACCGCGGAGTCGCAGCAAGGAATCCATCTGTCACGTGGTCTCCGCAGGGAGCTTCTGCAAAGGTGGGCACGCGCCAGTGGTCCGAGTCCCAGCCCGTGGGCACCCTGGTCACTGCAGGGCGGGGCGGGGCGGGGCGGGGCGGGGGCGGGTGGGAAAGGGGCTGCGCCCGCTTCTGCGGCCACCCAGCTCCAGGTCTCCCTGCGTCCCTTTCCAACCGATCTCACGGTCCACCCCGGAGGGGGCGTTTCTTCGTGTGATGTAACGTGGGTATCCCTGAGTCTCCAGAGACGACTGGAGCTTCTGTGCTGCTGACAGCCTTTCCAGGGTCCCTTCCCAAAGTCAGCGTCTTTCTGTGACGCCTTTCTAAACGCGCTAAACACTGCAAGACTGTAGAGCCCACCATCTTGTCTTTATCGGTAACTCCAAGTCCGGCACCTCTGTCCCAGCGACACTAAACTTGTTTTAATACTCTTCTGGGATTCACCGCTGCCCACTTCCTACTTCGTTTGGAAGCAGTTCTTAGATAGCATTCCCTTCCTCCAGAAAGCCTTTTCCTGACCCTAAGGAAAAGGCCTCTCCTGCCTTCTCACTAGTCTGGTTTTAAAGTGAGCCAGCCGTCTTATTACCCGCAGAGGCTTTTGTTTTGCTTAAAGCCTAAAGGCTTCGGGCATCAAAGGTAATCCTTAAGAATTTGAAGAAGAAACGATGTGGTGGTATGAGTAGTATCCTAGGCAGGCTGTACGCGAATACAGACATGAGAAACCAGAAGCTTCATTAAATAGGCCGAGTCTGTGTGCATGAAAGGAGAAAAGCTTATGAGAAATGGGAGGGTAAAAAGGAAACCCTTGAGTTTGCAGTTGATCCTATAGGCAGTAGCAGCTTGCAGACATAGATGACAAGGCACTTGCAAGTCCACCCTGTTTTTCTGTGAAGCTCCGTTCTTATTAATCAGCATTTTAAAAATTTATATTGCATGGCAGTCACCTTATGCAGACATAGCTTTTTAAAGCTCCCCTTTCAGGTTCTGTGTATCAGAAAAGTGATCCCAATCTTGCTGTCCCTTGGTTGCAGCGCATCTAAGTGTGAGTGTCCCTTGTACACTGATGGATGGTTTAGTCAGATACAGTAACTGATTTGCAGTTTGGTAAAAACTGTAGTGGGGAGCCGGGCGGTGGTGGCACACGCCTTTAATCCCTTTAATCCCAGCACGAAGGAGGCAGAGGCAGGCAGATCTTTGTGAGTTCAAGGTCTACAAGAGCTAGTTCCAGGACAGGCTCCAAAGCTACAGAAAAACCCTGTCTCGAAAAAACAATAAAAACAAAACAAAACAAAAAACTGTAGTGGGGCCCTTATCTTGCCAGGTTCCAGCGGTCACCTCACTAGATTTGGATGACTTTTTGTTCTTTAATGTGGGGTGCACAGAGCTAATAAGGAATTGCCTGGGAGAGTGCAGTGCACTGTGGGGAAGAAAGTATTAATACCAGTGGGCAGCACTGACGGGACCAAGGCTGCAGGTCTCATTGGAATGAAGGTGACTAGAAGAATCAGGATGGGGAGTCTGCAACACCGTTTCTTAGGGCTGTGGTTTGGAAAGGCAACCCGATTCACCTGGGTATCTTCTTACCAGCCCCCATGGCTCCCCAGCACTCCCACAGCCCACTAGCTCTAGGATGAGAATAAGCCATCCATATGTTCTTAAAAGCTACCCGTTATTTCTGAGATGGAGCCATGATAAAAAGAAGCCTTCAGAAAAACTAATTCTCAGTTTGGACTGTGAGTCTGCTTCCTAACCCACCCACACACTGGGGAACCCTACAGGTGTGTTAGGGAATTGGGTTGGGTAAAGTGCCCTGAATTAGAAGACCCTTAATCAGAGGGGACTTGCTTACTGGGTCTTTACAGCTCTCAGATGAACTTCAGGAATGAGAAAACTGAGGAGGAAGTACTCAGTTGCCTTTGGGAAAGGGAAACTAAATGAAGGAATGCTTAACTAGAGAGCGATTGAAAACATCCTAACTAACTCTGTAAAGTTAATACTATATAGTCTCTAGATCATGAATAGGCCAATGGCTTTTTAATGTTTTCGGAAGGAGCCTAGCCCTGTATTTCTCCCTAATGGATTATCTTTATTTCATCACATTTTTTTAAAAAATTTTCATGAAATTGCCTACCAAAGCAGTAGTTGTGTGATCATGTAAAGGAAAAAATGTGACAGTATATCCTGAGTGTTTTAGGAAGGAAGCTGGGGGATCATGGGAGGAAGGAGACTTAACGAAGTATAGAAGAGAAGTTTTAGCCATGGAAATAGGTTATTACTTTCAGAAACTATAGAGTATAAGCTCTGTGTGGGCAGACACAGGGTCTTGTTGCCCACCAGCAGCTGTGCCTATAACACCATCTGCCCAATGGAGAAGCTTGGTGAATTTGTGCTGATAAATGAATAAATGAGGGGCCCTTGAGATGATTTAGAGAATAAAGGCCTGTGACCAGAGTTCTACCTGTGACTTACATGGTAGGAGAGAGCTGCTGACCCCCACTTGTGCTCTATGATGTGATCCACAAACCTATTGTTATTAATTATTTAAGAGTGGAAGTCGCCACCATAGAAGTTATGTTTCTGGTTACCTCGTTGGGCGGCCTGTATAATTAGACTTGCTATTACAGTATATCAATCTGGAGTAAAAAAAAAAAAAAAAACGAGACTTGAGAATATAACCAAAATACTCTCAGAACATGCCTTGCTAACATGAGAATCTCATCATCTTGCTTCTTTCTGAAGGGTTTTCAAGATGGCCGCAGCCCCTCAAGCTCCAAAGAGGGGATCTATTCGGAAGACTAGACCTCTGGTTGTAAAGACATCATTGAACAACCCGTATGTCATTTCCTGGAGCACCTTGGAGAGAGAGGACATACACTTTATATTACAGACCCTCGAAGACAAGTTTAAATCAATTGGATTTCAGAAAATTGAAGATAAGAAAAGGAAGAAAACACCTTTTGTAGAAAAGCAAAGATGTCCCCCAGATGTTGAGATTAGTAAGGATTTGAAGAAGGAGCACGATGGGAATCTACAGGTGTCAGGGTGGACGCCAGCTCACGTCAGAAAACAGCTGGTCATTGGTGTTAATGAAGTCACCAGAGCTCTGGAGAGGAATGAACTGCTTCTGGTTCTAGTGTGCAAGTCAGTCAAGCCTGCCATCATCACCTCACACATGATTCAGCTGAGTATAAGCAGAACTGTTCCTGCTTGTCAGGTTCCTCAGCTCAGCGAGAGAATTGCTCCTGTCATTGGCTTAAAATGTGTGCTAGCCTTGGGCTTCAGAAAGAACACCATGGACTTTGCTGAGGAAGTAAGAGCCATCATTCCCAGGGTGCCCAGCTTACATGTGCCATGGCTTCAAGACAGAACCCAAGATCCTAGAGACAATTTAGAGATTGAATTATTGGAAAGCCAGGACAAAGAGATTTTGGACACTTCATTTGATGACCTTACAAAACTTAGTAAGAGAAAGAGTGCTGAAGGTGGGCAGGCTTCAGCTACAATACTACAACCCCTTAAAATAAAGAAACTCATTCCCAACCCTAATAAGATAAGGAAACCATCCAAAAGTAAAAAACCCATTTCAAAGTAGTTTGTATGAACTTATCATTTCATGAAAAGATATGGTCTAAGGTTTATAACAAATAAAGTCAAGTATGTTTACATATACTCTTAGGATCCTGCATGGAGTTTTTTTTTCAGATATGGCAAGTCTTTCTACCTGGGTGGAACAAGTACACTGAAACAAAACCATGAAGTACAGAAAACACTCAAAAACGATGATTAACAAAACCAAAGTTTATTGAGACTAATGTCCATGCGTGTATAAATTCACTGCTTTAAAGGCTGGTACAATGCTTGCTTGCAAGAACATCAGTTTCCTACAGCACTTAACATTTTTCTACCAAACTTGGAAAATGGGCCACAGACATGGTCTAATAAGGTGGGGGAAACAACTGAGAAGGTGCTCAGTTGTAAGGGAGACACTAAATGCTAAGCAGTACACTGTCTTCAAAAGCGGCATACCATTTTTACTTTGTGGTAATTTGGCTTTCTTTGTAGGTAAGCATTGACACAAGCTTGGAGAAAGGCTTGATTGATACAGGGGAAAAAGCCTGATAAGGTTATTTCAATAAGAATTCCCTCCCTGCATATCATTAATTTCTTTGCAATACTTAACATCTATCAAAATACATTGGGGGTATAGCTCTGTGGTAGAACATGTACTTAGCACACATAATCCCTGGCTTGATCCCCAGCACCAAAACAAAAAAAAAGCAAAACTAACAACAAAAATTAACTACAATAGTAACTTAAGTGAAATGTGGCAAGAGGAGAGAGTCAATGGGTCTTCCGGCTAGGAAACGAAGCTGTCAGTGCTTTGAATAGGAACTGACTATGTGTCTTGAAAATCATTCTAGGAGGAAGTAAATGGGATATTAAAAACTTTTACCTCAAGTTCTGGTTGAACTCATGGGCTGTGCCACCTTTGTTCTATGTGACAAATTTCCATTTTTTGAAGGAAAGAAACCTTATAATACATTTTGGATACAGAGACAGGGCAGTGTAACTTAAAAACAACTCTGGAGACTTTGCATTTGTATCTGGTTTTAACAGCTATTTTATATCCAAGCAATTGCACTGGTTACTGATTTGAAAAATACCGATCATGTGCTTAAATTATGAATAGGCCAATGTTAACTATTAGTGTATTTAAAGCGATGAGTTTTTTTTTTTTAACAACTGCAATGTGCAGTAAACCTCTAAAGGTTTAAAAGGGTCCTCATGAGGTAAATAAGCCCATGAAAAAAATCCTGACTGGCATTTCTACCTGAAAACTCAATTTGTTTAAGACCAAAAAAAAAAAAAAGAAAAAAAGAAAAAAAAGAATGAAACAATTTCCAAAGAGCTGTAAATCCAGATTCACTAAACTCGCTTACCTAATACTGTCTTTCTAAACAGTATTCCAATGAATAGGTAGTTTTATTTTCTGAGATGTTCTGTTAAAAATGTGACAGTTGGGCATGGACCATATGAAATAAGAAATCTGCCATGTGTCTTTAGGGACAATACTGGTCCCACTTCTGCACCACTTGTGAGGCCCAGGTGCTCCCTCTAGTGGTGCTATCAGGTATGGCACAATTCGTGGCCTACTTCTTAGGACCTCAGTCCATAAATATGCTAAGAGGCCAGACAGCAATTATTTTAACTTTGCAGGCAATACAATCCAGTCTATCACAACTACTTAATTTCCCTTCGTAGCATGAGGCAGCCATAGGTAGGTCATAAATAAAGATGTGGCTGTATTCTGATAAAACTTGAATTTCCTAAGATTTGCATGCTACAAAATGTCAATTTTTTTTGGCCATTTCCCCTAATCATTAAAAATAATAATAATAATAATGACCATTCTCAACTTGCTAGTTGTATAGAACAGCCAACAGGTAAGACTCGACCTAAAAGTAACATCTGGTGAGTCCTTTCTAGTAGGGAAGGAAATGCCATGTTGTCTGAAGTAGTGTTCTGGACTGGGGCGGAGGCACTGTAGTAAAGGCAGGAAGAAGTATCTACTTTGCGTCTGACTCAAAGGCCAGTCTATACAATGGCCTTATTTAGTATTTTACTTTCCCTTGGATTAGTGGCAGCATATACACACATATGTACACTGTGAAACTTCTGTTTTTCAAATTCTAGGTAAAAACAACATCAGTAACAAAATTATGAATACGTATTTACAAGTAAGACATTTTCCATTTGCATGACAATTTTCATGATAAATTAAAGTCAGCATAAAGGAACATGTGCAATTTTGCATAATAAAAACATTCAGACCATCTGTGTGCTGACAGCACTACTACACTCCTGGGCATTTAATCTGACCTTAGAGCTTTTACTTCCTTTCCCTCACACATCCTTGACACTGCTGAGTAATGAGATTGCAAGCAGTCTCAAGGTCTGGTCAGTCAGGTGTGTACTCTTTAGTGAGCATGCTGAACATATGCCCCAAATTTTGCTTTTGAAACAATCCACTGACCTGCTGAAGAGCAAAGGACAGACCTGCATATTTACTGATTTGGCTACTATGCTTATGGGACAGACCTGTATGTTTGCTGATTTGGCTACTATGCTTCTTATGGAATAATAAATGTGCTAAGTCACTGGTACGTTTTCATATTGCTCCATACGTAATTATCTACCACATGTCAATTCTATAAACATTCCCAGTAGCATTATGTAAGGTGATACACATATGGATCCTTGTTCTGTTATACAAGTATATCACCACTTAATAAACAGAAAAGCAGCAGTGACTCTCCTAACAGCAAAGGTTTTCTTAACATGATGCCACCACTTCTGTTTGGTTCACAGAGAAACAATCCCACTTCTAGAGTGGAAGAACAACATCCTCTCTTTACCATGAGAACTCTGTGGACACCTTCATCCCTCCCACACATCAGTCAACAGCAGAGATTGGCTCTCAACATCCTAACTAGATACGTGTACTATTGGCCATCTGTTCTGATTGTTAGCAACTACTTCAATTTCACTCAACTTGTGCTTTTATTCTTCTTTGGAATGGCAGTTCCAGGATTCACTAAATCGAGTATTAACAAATGAGAATGTCAGCCTTCTAGAACTCATATCCACCTATTGTAGAACAAGTCCAACCTAAAGAAAGGAAAAAAATGGCATAAGATCAAATGGAAGAGGAAATTGAGTTATAATAGAGCACACTATATCTGTGTTTTTAAAAGTTCCCTTGGGCTGTGATGCTGGCTATGAAGGTAAAGGCACTTGCCACACAAGCCTGATGACCTTAGTTCAGTCCTTGGAGCCCTGGTAGAAGGCTAGTACTGACTGACTCCTCATAGCTGTCCTCTGACCTCCATATATGCTGTAGCACATATGTACCTACATATTATATATACATATACACAGAAAAAAAAACACCTCTAACAACAGAAAACATACAAAGTCCCCTTCCTCCTATAGTAGTAGGGGACTGAGTTAACTGATTCCAATTACAATCAATCAATCAATCTCTCTCTCTCTCTCTCTCTCACACACACACACACACACACATACACACACACACACACACACACACATACACACACACCCCAGAAATAGTTAAAGCCCCTTTATCCTGAAGGAAGCTGGTATGGAACTGTCAAAACAAGCTTACTCACCTTTTCCGAGTCTGTCCCTGGACACCTCCAGTTGTACAAATAATACTGTAAGTTGCCATCTCCTATACCAAACTTGAGTTTTTCCAAGAAGGTTTTATTTTCCATCAAATCTAGTGCATTGAATACATCAAATCCTTTCTGCCAATATAAAAAGTTTTAAATACCAAGGGCTTAATGTATTCTTTGTGTATATACTCCTGTATAACATCATTTCCTCTACAATAACTTAAATATGCACGTATAAGGCTAAGTATCTACAGTATAAAGCTAAAGACTAAGAACCATCTTAGAAGATTGTATTATAAAGACAATTGGGGAAGGGGCCCAGACAGGTGGCTTCATGGTCCACATTGCTCTTGCAGAGCACCTTTCTGTTAAGTTGACTTGCTGAAAGAGAACCCTGTAGTACAAAAAGCAACAACACTCACCAGCTTGGCTATAATGAGCGCATCATTCATGAGGTCCAGCAGGGGTGTCTCTGTGTGAATGTTGTAGAAGGAATAGGCAGCCTTGAGGCTCTTGTGAGCGGGATGGTGCATAACCGTGGAGGGGAGCGTGTAAAAGCTCAGGAAATCAGTCAGCTTCCCACTCGGGCTCTGAAGGACAGAGGTTAGCAACAGCAAGTGAGTGCTTCCTTGAACAAGCATTCAGCTAACTGATGCTGACCTATGACTTACACCCAACTTTCTGTCTAAATGAGCAACAACTAAGATTTTCTTCTCTATAACCCAGTCCTTTTATACTAAGTAAAGACCAATAAGTGGACTGCAATTTAGTCAAAGTGTTAGTGGGAGATATTCAAACTCTTCCAAAGCAGGTTCTAATGGAAACTTACTTCAGGCTGACTGATGAGTCAATGCTCACACTGACAAGGACAGTCACAGAAGTAGATTTGCAGCCTCTAAGCTGAGGACCAGAAGCTGCCTTCCTCACTCACACTGGAGTATATATAGTCTGCTGCCAGGAGGAAACAGAGCTGTATGCCAAGTTAGCCACCCAGTGGTGAAGAGAACACCATTTCAAAGCACATGGCCACTCAGCCTTGGTATCTAGCACCTTTTCTTAGAAGTAAATAAGATTTGTTAATAACATTTGAGATTTCAGGGTCTAAGCTAAAGTTTTAAAGAAGGATAAAAAAACATCATAATCTCTACCATATGGTACCTTATAATCTTTCTGATGACAAAGGTCTTACCCATGAATGTAATTTTAAATACTATTGAATGAAATGTCAGTATTTGAAAGATCTATGTAACTCAGTAAATCTACATTTTCCAAGTGGCCAATGCATGATGTTGCAAACTTGTATATTAACTAAGATTCATTTGAAGAACCAGACATAAGTTAGTGGTAGAGAATCTGCTTGGTGTGTATAAAAACTGCTGGGGAGAAGGGGCACATAGAGAAAGGAAGAGGACAAAGATGGGGACAACAGACCAATGAGTTCTGGATCAAGAGAATAGCAAGATCACTGAAAAT